CCCGACACCCAGTATTCCTTCACGGGCAAATTGGGAATTATAGGAAACCTATTGCTAAGAACTACCCAGTTATACCATTCGACCAAACAAATTTTTATTTGAGGTCAAATCTGGTCAAACTTCAAGAAGTCTTAGTTTACAAGGATATCAAAAGATTCAAAACTCGATGCGTCAACGAAGACTTGTTGATAAAAGCAAATGGACGTAGGTTTGTAAAATTTGCACTCTTGACTAATGGTCCATCTAAGTTTAGCGAGGAGGACCAAATCTATGTATTTTGTCTTGGTAAGTCCCAAGCTACCCTCTCTATTTTCTAGGAGTCGTATCATTCCAAGTAACTATGTCCGTTTCTTTGGCTACTTTGATTTATAGGTAGAACTAGTGAAGACTAAACGAATGCTATTGGTTTGACCCTAGAAGAAAAAAAGAGCTTCCACACCTTCTATGCAAAATATTCCTGATATTAAAGGAGCTTCTCTATTGAAAAATTGTCCAATCAATCATAAACCTATTGTACGGATGTCGATTTAATCATAAACTTTCAAATTTTGCTATTTAATTCTAAACCTTTGCGCAAAATTCTAATGCAATTCTTCCAGCTGATCTCCGTAGAAATCGATGATGTGGCAGTGTGCCACATAGAACGACGTTAGTAATTTCCGGCAAAAATTAACCGAAAGGACTACATAGGAATTTCACGCAAGGGTTTACAACTGATTTGGCAAATTAAAAACTTTATGACTAAATTAACATCCGTATAATATTTCAACATCAGACCAAAAAAACCAGACATAATCAGAGTCGCAATCCACGTGCCCTTTATTCTAGAATTGCCATAATTGTTCTGATCAACCAGAATCAATTTGAAATGGGCATATCTGCTCCACCCTTGTGGTAGCCTCGGGAAATCAGCTACGTCCAAGTATACGGACAATTTGTTCCCTTTGGGGAAGAAGAGTATTTGGCTGCTCACATCAACCGTATCATACAAGAGAACCAAAAATTCTTGGAGTTCAACAAGTGGAGGAAACAAAAAAGGCGAGAATCAATCGTTACGCTTGAAAGTATATAATTCAACGATTACCAGGCGTTGTGCCGAGTTTGAACACTTTGGAGTAGTACTTCTTTTGAGTCAAGCTAGTGAAGTTGGTAATCTTCCATGTGTATTTCAATGAAGTGTGATTTTGCTCTCCCATCACCAGCTTCGCCATAATCCATCCAATCAGTTGAAACGAAAAAAGAGTCATCATCAGTCTTTAGAATGAAGAATACACAATGTTTCCCAAAGATTCAAATGAAAACATCGCAGCCATCATCGCTCTTTAACACCAAAACCAAACGAAGACACGCCTTATTTTCAACGTGTCAAGAAGGAAACAAAAAAAAAAGCATGATCTTCAACCTTAAAGGATCGATTGAAATTGCATTAGACAGGGAAAGATTCAAGAGCATGGACTTGAAACAGAAAGAGAGTGGTACTACAGCGGGTTAAACTCGGGTTGGGTTTCGGTGAGGACGAGAAGAGAAGCCACAGCGAGAAAAGCAACCTCTTCTTGCACTCAGTGAGTCGTGGGCATCTCAGAATAAGAAAGATTGCCTCACAAAATCATAAACCACTAATTATGAGAATACACCAATATACATGGCTAAGACCACTTTTTCAGTTGACCTGAAATGCAGAGTCAATTGGATGATCCAACCTTCATCTGGATTATCATTATAATTATAATTATTATTGGGTGTTTGCTGCTCCATTTCTCCGATTACCTTGCCTGTGGCTAGCGAGGGTCTACCATGACCTTGCCGGCCCACATTTGGGAAAAAAAAGAAGAAAGAAAAACAAAGAAAAAAGAAAAGAAAAAAAACATAAAAAAAATTAGAAAAGAAAAAAAAAATTGTTCACGTCAGCACTGGCATGCTACGTAAGATGGCCAGTACCCATGTCAGCTATTTTTAGCCAAAAAAATTGGTCAGATGGACTATATTGACGAATTGTCAAAATGTTTAGGACTCAATTGACACAATTAAAAGATATATGACTAAATTGACACAAATGCAATAAGTTTATGACGTTTTTTTTTTATTTATAATTTTCCCACAAATCAAGTCAAAAACTATTTTAGGAAAAGTTTGAGTACACCATTCCAGATAATTGAATATGCTCTAAACATCACTTTTTCGTTTTAACAAAATTATACGGTGCAATGCCTTTCATAACTCATATTATACATAATCAATACCACTTTTAAGACTTTAGTTTAAAATTCATAGAAGAGATAAGCACCATTTTATCTAGGGTTGTAAAGCCAAACAACAAAAGCTACTTAAGTTGACGAATTTGAAATCTTATCAATTAAGTGAGAAAACTATATGAAAAATCAACTAAATGAATACCTTGACTAAACTAAACTCACCGAGCGACAAAACGACTCATATGCGATGTTTGTTGTACCAAGCAACTCATGCACCGAATTTTGGTCTCGTCATATCATTCCAGCGAACTCCGATTCAAGCGTGTTTACTATAAACAAAAAGCTCTTTTCGAAGTGCCAAATGATACTTTGCTGACTCAAAAGATGGTGGAAGATAGGCCAGTTGCGACGCCAAAACACAATAACTCATAAACTGGTACTAGCAATCGCGCGAAACTTCGAAAATTCATTTTTTTTTTTTTTGGTAACCCGGGAACCCCCCGCACGGCCGACAGCCGAGGAGGTAAACCCGGGGTGACGCTAGCGCAGGACCCACCACCACGACGTCACGCTTAAGAATCCCTAACGCCAGCACTGGGATTTGAACTCCTACCCTTCGTGGGGGGAGGGGAGCCCGAAGCCAGCACAGCCGCTGAGGGCGGTGGTTCCGAAAATTCATTTTGATCACACCGTAACTCTAAATCCACGAACACCCCAAAATTTCATTAGTGCATGATTTTGCAGCTATATAACTCCTAAATTGAATCCAACAATTCATGTGTCAAATAAATCCGAATTTACAGCTGAACTATGAAATTTCTTCCGATTAAATGAATAAATGGTTTAAATCCTTACCGAGTGCTACTAAACTGAGCTAATATGGCTTATCGGAACTTTCGGAGAGCAAACGCGACGAAATCTCCCCTTTCCCTTCTTCTTTCTCTTTTCCTCGGTTTCTCCGTTTTTCTTTCTTTTGTTTTTTTGCTCTCTCTCTCTACTCCTGCTACTGTTGTTTTAATCTCCTTTTCATCAGGTTCTGAACGTCCGACCAAAAAAAAAAATAAAAATCAGGTTCTGAAGGTGTGGAGATGGGCTGAGGTAGAGACATTTGGACTTGGGCTTCGGGCTCTAAGTTTTACACTATCTTTCTCAAGGACGAAAACAACACAGGAAGCGATCTGTAAGTACTAGACAATGTAAAAGTGACCGCACTGACCGGGACAGGAATTAATATGGGGAAAAAATAAGGATTAATACAACGAAAAATCTCAAACTGGTACACTTGTGACAAATTTATCCCAAACCGGTATACCTATGACAAATTTACCCCAAACTAATTTTTTGACCACAAAAAATCCCAAACTGGTACAACCGTCACAAATTTACCATCCGTTAATTACCGTTAAATTTTACCGTCAAATTACTAAATTGGATGACATGTGACAGTTGATGGGTGTACCGGTTTAGTTTTACCCTCCATTTGATCACGGTGTACCGGTTTATAATTTTTTGTGGTATTACAACTTGAACCAAACTTGCCATTAGGCCGATTTCATCACGTTCCCCTGCATATGCACAACCATTAAGTGTCGTGAACACCATTCCATTCATTTCACTTATTGATACACTTGGTTGAAATTGTTCTTTTCAAGATTTCTTCGTACTGTCATCGTTTTGGAACTCGTAAACAATCTTTCTTTTCTTCATTTTTCTCTTTCTCCTTCGTTTGAACAACGCATTCGATCCTTCAAAAAAAATCCATCCAGTGCTAAATAATAATTTTCTGCTTTTTTTTTATATTTCATCTTTGTATAGAAATATAAACGAAGTCACGAAGATATTTGACCTTAAATATAGATTATTTATTGTTTATGAAGTCTTATTTCCTGCTTTTAAATCCTCTTAATATGAAATAAAGGATTTGATCTCTTAGAGAGAGCCGAGCCATGGCTGTTAAGGAAAGTTCTTCCATGCTATGTGTACTATGATTTTACGGCGCTTGTCAAATGACAATGTTATGTGTATTATGATTTTACATTGGGTATGAATGTATGACTCGAGTTTACATCCAGCAATTACCAAAAGTTTACTTTGGACAAAAACTCTGGGATAAAAGGCCCCATAGAATAAGATTCTGTTGTAGATAAGAGAACTGGATTGCATTTGATTATGTAGTTCTAAACTCCAAAGTTCGCTACTCAACAGTTGGTGGTGAAAATTTATGTATATTTTTTATTAGCAAGACTTAGATATAGCTAACACTTGTATCTGTTTAGTCAAAAGAATTTCATCTAAGACTGGGCCGAGGGTCTTGCTAGGTGCTAACTACGCCAAATCATCTGCTTCCAGAAGAAATTGAATGTGGTTGATATTGATCGAGTTGGAGGGGACGAGGGTCTTGCTGGCTTGAAGACTCGGACACAACATTGTGTTCTAGTTCGCACAACCAAAACGAGGGTCTTGCTGGCTTGAAAGCATCAATTGCTTTTCTTCTGTAGTCACCGATAACCTCCCCAACACTAGAGCCACTTGTTTGTGGCTCTCTTCTTGTAATGATACTCCTGATTATTAGAGAGTTTTCTTGTTTTTTCAATCCCTAACTCTATTGCAAGGAGACAAATCCCTTACTTAGGACAGGGCAAACTCTCCTCATACAAATTTCCCAGAGTGTGGATACAGGGACACCCTTAGCACCAGAGCCAGGCACCCAATACAGAGTCATATCAAGAAGGTTTTACATGAAGGAACAACTCGATGATCACACATTGACAGAACAATAGTCAGGAAAGCGCATCAGAATCGTAAGAATTTTCAAGCTCCGAGAGCAAAAAGCACGACGACCATGCTATTCATATGAAGACATCAAAAACAGACTATTTAGACATACATAAGTATGTATAGATTTCACCCACATGCTGACTAAACTAACACAATGTAGGATCTACCACATAAGCCCCTTGCAATCGTTCTTGCGAAAATTGACCAAAAGCAGTCAAGCTAACACACAGTTTTCATACTTAAGTGAACAATTGCCTCATGGCCTATTTCAAACCTTAGTGTTTTAACAGAATTGAGTCTTCAAATTTGACCAAGCAGTAGTTGATCTAGACATTCTTTCCTCGGCTATTCTCTTCTTTTCCTCAGCCTCAGCTACTTTCTTCTGCTTATCTTCATAGCCCAACTTCGCCTCTTCGGACTTGACCCGCACGATCTCCCAGTCTGAGAGGAGCTTGTCGCTCCTGGACTTCACTCCCTCCAATTTTCTCTTGAGTTCTTCCTCTTCCTTGACGAGGTCACCCATCAACTTCTTACAAAAGATGTGAGCCTCATGGCACTTCGTCATAGCAGAGAACCATTGATCCCTTTGCAACTTTTCCAGCTCAAACTCAGCGTTGTCCTGCTCAAATGTTAAGAAGTCGGAAGTGAAATCATTGAAATTTTCCCGAAATTTCTCAATTGCTATGTGTTGCTCCGACGATAATCCAGTTCTGGCTGAGCTTAAAGTTGATAGTGCATCCCATAGCCTCTCTTTCATATTCAATTTAAAGAGATCCGAAAGGCATTCCTTCAAAGACTGCTTAGCCTTCCTAACTTCTTCTAAGCTAGGAATTTTAGCCGTCAAAGCACCCTTTTGGTGGCCCCAACTTGATCCTACATTAACACCATTAGTCTCAGCAGCATTGATGAGTTCCTCCAGACCAGTAAAATAGAAGTCAAAGCCATCGGTTGGTCTAGCTGGCTGAATATTTACCGGAGGAGTAACTCTTAAGATGCAAACTTCGGCTTTAATCACCAAAGTATCGTTTACTAGGTATCCCCCAGTACGATTATGAAGATCAGTCAATGGAATGAAACTCGGATAACCCCGGTCAATCTGTGTTGCAGTGAAAACATGTTGCGTCCCTGCAGAATCAGGAGACAGGGTGGCGAATTCAAAAACTCCTTTACTAAAACACCAGAGCATAAATGTGGAGGAAACATTGGAGACCATCAAGAACTAGAATGTTGTATTGTGCATCAAGCGAAGTATTAGCAACAGAAGAAGCAAACACCTCCATATGATTGGCTTAAGTCACGAAATTCATCCATAAGTCAATAAACTGATAATGCACAACATTTTGACACCACCAGACGTAACTATCTCAAACTTAAACTGCCACTCCTCTCCTTTATCTGGATCAACATTTAGATCGTATAGGTGTGCAGTCGAGGCCCAACTCCTCCATCCACTGGACCAGTTGCTAACAAACTCAACTTAGTTAAATTCCTTAATCAGTAACCTCGGGATTGTTGCGTGGGCATGTTAGAAGCTCACCCGCCTTTGAGAGGTCTAACGAATGGAAAATACAGTAACCATATTCTCTCCCTTAGCTCAACATCTCTCTTTCTACTTCTTTTGACCTACTCTTTGCTCATCTAGACCGTTCTTCTTCTTCTTCAAGACACCGATCTCTCGAAATCAAGATCCACAACCGATCAGAGAGAAACCCATCATACACTTACATTAAAAAGAAGAGATTCCAATAAAAATCAATCCAATTCAAGAACAAACCCTTTCTAATAGAGCGACCATTATTGATTTGATCGATCACACTCAAGCTGAACTTGGCTTTTCTGGTCCACCCGTTGGGCAACATCGCAGAATCGGGGACATCGAGGTACAGCGACAGATGGTCCGTGTTATTCCCCTTGGGGAATACCAGAATCCTCCTGCTCAAAAAGGATCGGACAGACACAAGAATCACTTGGCAACACGATGATCATGCGATCATCAAGAAACAACCGCAAAACTTGGAGAACAGAAGTAAACAATTTTGAAGTACCATTTACAACCAGACACTGTGAATGCTTCAGAGTAAAGCTTGTTCGCATCCTGCTCACTGAAGTAGCTAATTTTCCACGTGAATTCTCCCCGGTTAACATCGTTTTGGGCATCCATTTCTTTCTTTTTATTGGGCTGCTGATTCTGCAAGATCAACTTTCGCAAACAACACGTATGCTTCGTCTTGGCCGACACTCTAACCGAGTACTTGTGTCGAACGTTGTTGTCTCTTCTACTTCAAGGCGATGGAATGTTGGATGTCTCTGGCTTTAATAGAAGCAGGGGGTAACGAAGGAAATTCAGAAGGGAAAGGACAAGGAGAGAACTTCCCCGCGAAGTTAAGGAGGAAAAACCAGGAGTGGTGGTGGTCCATTTCAGGTTCACAGGAAAAAGGCATGTATCATTCACACTTTTTGGTTGGCACCCTGCACACTAAAAGCCAAATGAGTTACTATGCCTCGATCTGACAAGCTCTACTTAGGATCGACAGTCTGTAGCGCGAGATTATAATGTACCTCGAACGGGACGCCGAGTTGCGGAGTTTCGATTGAGGTTCGTCGGTCCAGATCAATCTCGTATCAACATGTGAGCACGATTGATAATTTTCTCGTGTTCGTGTTCAGCCGGCCAGATACGAAATTTGTCCGTATAACCCGTTTAAATTAATGGGTTAATATTGACACAATTTGTATGTGATCCATTTAGATACGAATAATTACAAGATTATTATTTTCATGCTCTTCACTATTAAGATTTTAAATTGACGATATTTTATTGACTAGACCATGTTTTTTTAATTTGATTTGATGATATTTTGTTGACGGATTATTGCAATTTGTCAATAATATTATGAAAAATCGAGGATATTTTATGTCAAGTTTGTATTGGTGGGTTGATTTCATGTCACAATATTTTAGTGACGACACGAACACGACCCACGGACACGAATTGCCACCCTAGTTTTATTAGCATTCCTTTTCTACTTGTGTTTTTTCTCTGTCAATGAAATTTTCACGGCATTCCCTTTGTTTGGGTATTTGTGCAATGAACATCAGTGCTCTATCAGTGAAATACATATAGGTACGTTAGATGCTGTTAACTGCCTTACATGTTTCAGCATTAGGAGGTCATTCTGGTGTGAGGGGCACTGATCAAAGGCAAGTATCTGTTGTATAGGCCAAGGATGACACAGGATGTGGTGAAACAGGTTAAAGCCTGTAATGTGTGGCAAAGGAATGAGGGGTAGCACACTCATGACCCAGGGGACTCTTGCAAACCACTGAACATTCCTTCTCAGGCCTGGACTCATGTCACTATGGATTTCACCTTGCCTAAATCTGATGGGAAGAATACTGTGTTTGTGATGGTGGATCGACTCACCAACTATGCTCCTTTTATGGCCATGTCTCATCTTTCACAGCACTAGAAGTGGCCAAGTTGTTCCTCTACAACTTTTATTAGTTGCATGGTCTACCCCTAAGCATGGTGAGTGATAGGGACAAGATATTTTAATAGTTCGGTTTGGCAAGAAACCTTCAAGCTAATGGCAACACGATTGCATCTATCGACAGCATAAAACACCAGTTAGATGGGCAAGTTGAGAGACTCAATCAGTGTTTGGAGAATTACTTGAGGTGATGCATTTTGCTCAACCAAACAAGTGGCTCGATGGTTTTTTTGGCTGCTGAATGCCGATACCATACCACCTTTGGAACGAGCTCACCAGCCTCGGGCGAGCTCGATGTCGCCGGATTTGGTGAGGTGGAGCCTCGCCCGAGGCTGGCAAGGCTCAAGCTTCACTGGCCTCCAGTGAGCTCATTCCTCGCCTGTGGCCAGTTGCCGGTCATCGGTTGAAAATGAAGAAAAAATAGAAAAATAAAATAAAAATTTTCTAGTTCATTTTTAGGTTTTAGCCAAACACTGAAAAATATTATTATTTTCTTGGAAAATAATTTCATGGAAAACATTTTCTAAAAATGTCACATTTCCGGCGAAACAAATAGAGATTCAATTTTTACAAAAAATTATAAAAATTGTCCACTAGATTTGTATTGCAAAAAAATTATAAGAAATAAGTTTTCCTATATTTGGTTAAATATGGAAGTGTTTGAGCAATATGAGTTGGGTCGAGTCGGGTATGGATTAGGTATAGGTCAAGAAATTCACATTACAAATAAATATGTCATAAATGGGTTAATGGGTCGATTTGGTTCAGACCATTTATCACCCGTACTCAAACCTCACTCGACCTACTCGTTTAACAGGTCTATTTCAGAGGTTTCTCTTTTCTTGTAAACATGGTGTCCATCTATACGTGGTACATTCCAATTTTCTAAACTTTTCCCAAAATCATTTATCATTATTTTCTCGGAATTCTTAAACTAATTCTGCCTATTCATTATATCTTTCCAAGAACCAAAACATGTCCAATTAAATTTTCCCGCCATTAAGTATGTTTGTAAGTCATGTAATATATTATCCGGTATTAGTGAACGATTTATACCCTTTCTCTGTCCTAATAAAACTTTTGATTCTATAGGGACTTTTATGGGTTACGTGACTTGGGTAATAATCAGACACGACGAGACCAATGCGATTTTTGTTTGTTTATGACTGTTGTAATTAATTCCTTTATGGATGATAACTCCTAAGAAGTATATAATGGATGGCAAAAACACAAAAAAAAATGACAAATTAAGTTTTTTTCTAGAAAATAAAACTTTAATGGCAATATTGTAAATGGTTAAGGCTACGAAGGCAAAAAGGTAATAAAAAATAGTTATTTGATTCATTTTAATCAGGGGTGAGCGGTTCTAGGTTCTGTATAGGTTCCACCTAGAACATAGAACCTACTCATTGAAATAGGTTTCTCATTTTTTGGAACCTAAAACCTACCATGCATACCTTGGGATTTGGCCAACGTCGGTTCTAAGGTCTATCTAGGTTTCACTTGTATTATTAATTGAATGATTACAGTGAATCATCAGCTTTAATGACTACTATTTGCTGCTACAATCTACTGACAACAATTTATATTTAGACATGAATAATTCGAAACATTAACAAATAAAAGTCTCAGTCATAAAATGGAAGCTCATACTAGTGGATGGAATATCACAAGATCACGCGAAAACATAGAAAAAAAAAACACAAAATTTCATTTCAAGTTCCTGTCAAAACATGTTTTTCAATTTTTTGAAACCTGGAACCTACCCAGCATACTGTGAAATCTGAAATCAGATAGGTTCCCATCGATCCGGTTCCAAGTTCTAGATTCTACCTTGAAATTATGCTCACCCCTAATTCTAACGGAACAAAATGGATCACAGTTTGGTTTTTTTTTTTAAGAGATTGAGAAAAGATTAAGGTGGTATTTGTTCAATCTTCTGTGGGATCCACACATTTCAATCGCCCCTAAAATAAAGAGAACAAATGCAGAGGAACAACAAAATTTCAACTTTGCCCCCGATATGACTTCCGCGTTTTAGGCCATAAAAGGGCATTTTAGTTTATTGTACCGTTTGAGACCATCCGCGTAAAAATAGACTAAGCCAAAACAATACTTCGTTAAAACTCATCGCTCATCATTGATCAGGATACGTCACATATATTTCGAGGGACTTTTAGATATTCTTGAAGTACTGTGTTGCTGAAGAATTGACATCGTTAGAGCTTGGAAGTTCCACTAAGAAGTGATATCATTGAAAGAAATTAATAAAAAAATTGCAACACTAGATCCGATGAATTGATGAATTTGCAAGCATATATTACGGGAAAGTTCTCATCCTCAATAAAAGTTCGTTCAAAACAAACTTTTATCCGAGCAAGACTATCAAAAAGTTGTCTTCTCAATTAGACACAAATGTTTACTTTGGATATAACATTATGTTCAAGTAATGTCTCAAATGTCTTTCATTGCTATTTGTTTGGACGAATTGAAAGCATCAATTATTTTTCTTCTGTAACTGCCGATAACTTCCCCCGCAATGTGGCTCTTGCCTTGTAAGAACACTTCTAACCATTTGACAATATCCTGCTTTTTTTTAATTCCAAACTCAATTGCGAGGGGATAAATCCCTACTTATGACAGGGTCACTTTTTAGAAAAGGACATCATAAATATTATAACTTTTGTTTGATATTTACTTGAATGCGATAACTTTTTATCACTGGAGTCTATATAATTTTTCAATTGATTATTTAATTACCATAACTTTTTTTATAACATTTACCGCAAATTCTATGCCACGTCAGATCTTCGGCACTTGAGTGAATGTTTTTAAAAAGTTATAGCACTCAAATAATCAATTAAAAATTATAGAACTCAAGTGAACGATTTTTAGAGTAAAACGTTATGGCATAATAAGTGGACACCGTACGAAAATTATGACACTTGTGGTGTTGTTATCGTAATAAACTCTCCTAATTTAAAATCCCAAGACTATAATTGAATCCATAGGCTCTGCCTCATGAGATGTGGATTCAAGTAATCCCCTCATCACTATAGGCACCCGATGCAGAGTCATATCAAGAAAAATTTACGTGAAGAGACAACTCGATCATCACATATTCATAGAACAACAGTCAGGAAAGCGAGCGCGACATTATGAGAATATCCAAGCTTCAAGAGCAAAAAGCATGATGACCACGCAATTCATATGGAGACATCAAACACTGACTGTATAGACATACGTATGTATATATACATTTGACTCACATGCTGACTAAATTAACATGATATAGGATCAACACATAAGCCCCTCTAAGCAACTGTTCTGCTGAAAATTGGCCAAACAATGGTCAAGCTAAAGCACGGTTTTCATACTTTAAAGTGAACAACTGCTTCATAGCCTATTTGAAACCTTAAAGTTTTAGCAGAATTGAGACTTCAAATTTGACCAAGCAGTAGCGGATCTAGACATTCTTTCCTCGGCTATTCTCTTCTTTTCCTCGGCCTCTGCTACTTTCTTCTGCTCATCTTTATAGCCCGACTTCACTTCTTCGGACTCAACCAGCAAGATCTCCCAGTCCCAGAGAAGCTTTTTCCTCCTAGACTTCACTTCCTCTGTCTTTCTCATGAGCTCTTCCTCTTCCTTGGCAAGGTCGTCCATTAACTGCTTGTACAAGATGTGGGTCTCCTGGTTCTTCTTCATGGCAGAGAACCTTTGATCCTTTTGTAGTTTGTACAGCTCAAACTCAGCATTGTCCTGCTCAAATGCTAAGAAGTCAGAAGTAAAATCATTAAAATTGGCCTGAAATGTCTCAATTGCTATTTGTTGCCCACACGATAATCCAGTTCTGGCTGAGCTTAAAGTTGATAGTGCCTCAGATAGCCTCTCTTTCGTATTCAATTTAAAGAGATCCGAAAGGCATTCTTTCAAAGACAGCTTAGCCTTCTCAATTTCTTCCAAGCTAGGAATTTCAGCAGTCGAAGCAGCATCTTGGTGGCAGAAACTTGATCCTACAGTAACACCATTAGTCTCAGCAGCATTGACGAATTCCTCCAGACCAGTAAAATAGTAGTCAAACTTATCAATTGGTCTAGCTGGCTGAATATTTGCGGGAGGAGTAACTGTTAAGACGCAAACTTCGGTTTTAATCACCAAAGTGTCATTTGCTATGAATCCCCGCGTAGGATTATGAAGCTCAGCCAATGCAATAAACCTTGTGAAACCCCAGCTACTCTGTCTTGCAGTGAAATAATGTTGCGTCTCTGCAGAATTCAGGAGACAGGGTGATGAATTCAAAGACTTGTTTACTACAACACCAGAACATAATATGTGAAGGAAACATTGGAGACCATGAACTAGAATGTTGTATTGTCCGTCAAGCCAAATATTAGCAACAGAAGAAGCAAATAACTCCCCATGATCAACTAAAACAACCAAATTCATATAAAAAAAAAAAAGGTTGATAAACTGACAATGCACAACATTTTTAAGACCACCAACTATCTTAAACTCAAATTGTCGCTCCTCTCTTTTTTCTGGACCAGCATTTGGATCATATAAGCGCAGTCAAGCCCCAACTCCTCCGCCCCTGGACAAGTTGCTTTGTAACTTAAATCGCTAAATTCCTTAGTCAGTAACCTCGGGATCGTTGTGCGCGCATGCTAGAAGCTCACCTGCCTTTGAGAGGTTTAGCAAATGAAACGCAGAAAACGTATTCTCTCTCTCATCTCAATACCTCTCTTTCTACATCTTCTCACCTATTCTTTTCTCATCTAAACTCTCCTTCTTCTTCAAGTCATAACACCGATTTCTCAAAATCAAGATGCACAGTCAATCAGAGAGAAACCCATCAAACACTTAGATTGAAAACAAGAGATTCCAAGAAAAGTCGAGCCAATTTAAGAACAAACCTTCTCTAATAGAACGAACATTATTGATTTGATCGATCACACTCAAGCTGAACTTGGCGTTTCTGGTCCACCCCTTCGGCAACGTCGCAGAATCAGGGACATCGAGGCACAGCGACAAATGGTTTGAGTTGTTCCACTTGAGGATTAACAGAATTCTCCTGCTCAAAAGGGATAGGACGACGCAAGAATCACTTCGCCACACCATGAACATGCGATCATCAAGAAAAAGCGCAAAAAACATAAAATATAAAAACTTTTGAAGTACCATTTACAACCAGAAACTGTGAATGCATCAGAGTAAAGCTTCTGCGCAGTAAGCCTAGTAAAGTTGCTGATTTTCCACCTGAATTTTCCCCGAGTAACATCATTTTGCTCATCCATCGGCTGCTGCTTCTGCATGATCGACTTTAGCAAACAACACGGATGTTTCTTCTTAAGCCGACACAGTAAATGTGAAGGAGGAGGAGGAGGAGGGCTTTCTTACATTACCGGAGTTGGGAAGATTATGAGTTACTTCACAGCAGTACTTGTGTTCAATGTTGTTGATTCTTGGACCTGCAGGTGATGGTACGTCGGAAGACTCGGGCTTTTGTAGGAGGAATGGTGGAAAAGCAAACGAAGAAAGGGAGAAAACTTCCCCGGGAAGTTACGGAGGAAAAATGGTAAACTATTATTTCAGGGTAAGAGGAAAGAGGCACATTTTTCACACTTTTGGTTAGCACATTGAAAACCAATGATTAGAGTCTTGAACAGGGAAAATAACTAAAAAAAAAATCATAAATTTATTGCATTTATACCAACTCAGTCTCAAACCTTTTAATTCTATCAATTCAATCAAAAACTTTTTGATAATTTGCCAATATAGTCTTTTCGGCTAATTTTGACCGCAAAATGCTGACATGACGGTCCAGTCACTTCCGACCGTCCCATGTAGCATACCGGTATTGACGTGGATAATTTTTAAAATTTTTCCTTTATTTTTTTCTTTCCTTTTCACCGTTGGTTGATCATAGGTGATGGTTGGCCACCGGCAATGCCGAGCAAGAATTGGCCCTTGCCCGATGTGGCAAGGGCCACCCTTGTCGACCATAGGGGACAGACGACCTCGCCCGATCTGGCGAGGGTGGCCTTGCTTGGGTAGGGTGAGGGTCGCCTCGCCTAGGTATGGGTGGCCTGGACTGGGTAGGGTGAGGATCGCCTCACCCAAGCGAGGTTGTCCCTCACCTATGGCTAGCGAGGGAGGCCCTCGCGCAGCCCTCTTCGAGCATCTCTGGTGGTTGGCCATCGGCAAAAAGGAAAGAAAAAACTAAAAAAGAAAAAAATTAAAAAAATTATCCACGTCAACGCCAATATGCCACATAGGACAGTTGGTGTTGATTGGACTGTATCGTTTTCTAGTCAAAATTGGCTCAAATGATTTAATCAGTAAATTGTCAAAAGGTTTAGGATTGAATTGACACAATTGAAAGGTTAAAGACTGAATTAGCACAAGTCTAATAAATTTATGACTTGTTTTGGCAATTTTCCTGACTCAAATATGACACCAAGTTAGCGGGTTTGGATTGAGACTAATCCTGTTGTACGGCAATTTCAAGTCAATCTGCAAGATACTATTAATAATTTTTTCGTGTTCATGTACTATTGGTCAGACACGAAATTGACCTACATAAGACATGTAAATTAACGAGTTAATGTTAACACGACCTATATGTGACTTGTTTAAATACGATTAACCAAAAGGCTATTCTTTTTGTGCTCTTCACTATTAAGAGTTTTTTTTTTATCGGGCACTATTAAGAGTGTAAATTGATGACCTTTCATTGACTATGCCCATGATTTAGGAAATTGTCCAATCAGTCGTAAACCTATTATACGAATGTCAATTTAAAACTAAAATTTTTAATTTTATCAATTGAGTTCTAAACTTTTACACGAAATTCCAAATTAGGCATTCAGTGCGCGACACATGTTAAGATAATCCCTGGTCAGAAATTTTAAAAAATCCCTCTTTCCTCTCTCTGTCTCTCTCCTTTACTTATCCGTTTACTCTCTCTCCGATCATCATTTACAGTCTTCACTCAACCTCCAGACTCTTTCATGAGGACGATTTCCGATACTCTTCAGTAGAATGCAACTTCCCTAGGAATGCAATCAAAATAAGTGTGACACCACGCCAATCGATCCAGAGGATCAAAAATCAAATCAACCACCTCATTTCAAAATCTACCGTCGTTCCCGAGAATCTAACGTGTAAATCAGAACAGCACAGTTGAGATGAGTGAAATTTGTGTATATTACTTGCATTGAACTACAAGGCCAAGTCCCTTTATATAGGGAAAGAATGAACAGTAAACCTAAATTACATATTATGTTTAACATCCCCCGCAAACTCAAGATGAGTTGAAACAAGTCAACTGGAGTTTGGAGAGAAGATCTAAGAAGCGCCCAGGTGGATGTGTCTTTGTGAAGATATCGGCAATCTGATTAGCTGATGAAGTAAAGACAAGTCGTAGAGTGCCACGAAGAACATGAGAGCGGATGAAGTGACAATCTATCTCAATGTGTTTGGTGCGTTCGTGGAAAACATCATTATGTGCAATTTGGATAGCACTGCGATTGTCGCAATGAAGGATTGTCCCACTATGATGACGGACTCCCATATCTTCCAGTAGCCATCGCAACCATAATAACTCCGATGTGGTATCAGCAAGAGCTCGATATTCAGCTTCTGTACTAGAACGAGCAATAGTGGATTGTTTCTTGCTACGCCAGGAGATAAGTGAAGTGCCCAAGAAAAAACAATAACCCGTAGTGGAACGACGATCTTGAGGGTCACCGGCCCAGTCAGCATCTGAATAGGCAGTCAACTCCAATGTCGAATGAGCAGAAAAGTGAAGGCCATGAAATAACGTACCCTTGACATAGCGAAGAATACGAAGAACTGCAGCAAAGTGAGTTGTACGAGGCGCTGTCATGTATTGGCTGACAATATGAACAGCATGAGCGATGTCGGGCGAGTAATGATGAGATATATAAGGCTGCCAACTAGTTGTCGATAGAGGGTAGGGTTTTGGAGAGGAGTCCCATCACCGGCATCAAATTTGGCATTGATCTCAAGAGGGGTCGTAACGACCTTGGTGTCCGTGAGTCCTGCTCGAGAAAGAAGATCAGTGGCATATTTGGCTTGTGAAAGATAATATCCGGATGTGTCTGAAGTAACCTCCAAGCCTAAAAAATAACTAAGTTGTCCGAGATCCTTCATCTCGAACTGTTGACCAAGATAATGCTTGAGTTTTGAAATTCCGGGACGATCATCTCCAGTAATAACCATATCATCAACATATAGAAGCAGGAGAATAGATCCACGAGAAGTATGTTGAACAAAAAGAGCGTGGTCATGGGGACTAGATTTAAAGCCAAGAGATGCCATGGTGGAGCTAAACTTGGAATACCATGCACGAGGAGATTGTTTCAATCCATATAATGCACGACGTAATCGACACACTTGGTGGGAAGAATGAGTGTAGCCAGGAGGAGGTACCATATAAACTTCCTCGGTGAGATCGCCATTTAGGAATGCATTTTTGACATCCATCTGAAATGCAGGCCAACGCTTAACAGCAGCGACAGCGAGAAGACTGCGAACAGAAGTAAGACGTGCAACGGGGGCAAAAGTCTCTTCATAATCAATGCCATATTCCTGAGTGAAGCCTTTTGCAACGAGGCGAGCTTTATAGCGGTCCACAGTACCATTTGCTTTTGTCTTAATCTTGTACACCCATTTACAACCGACAGCGGACTTACCAGGAGGCAGAGCAACTAAATCCCAAGTATGAGATTTGTCTAAAGCTTGTAACTCATCTACCATTGCCTTCTGCCAAAGAGGGTTAGTACTAGCTTCTCTGTATGTGCGAGGTTCATGAAGGGAAGCTATTGTAGAATAACAATGGTAATCTCGAAGCCAAACAGAAGGTTGACTTACTCTGGTGGGGCGACGATCAGAGGATGAAGGAATGACCGCTGGTGGAGAATCCGCGGGGAGGTGCAGACACGTCAGAAGTGGCCAAAGTAGGGTCACCAGAATGTCCTGCTTCAAGATGAGAGAAATGTACATCTGGAATGGAAGAGTCAGATGTGGATGGAGGTGTAGTGTCTTCTGGAAATAAGTCCACAGAAGGATTGGTAAAGAAAGGAACATGAGTAGAGGGGTCGAAGGGATGAATAGAGGAGAACATCTTGTGTTCCCAAAACGTGACATGACGAGACACACGAAGACGATTGGAAGCGGGATCCCAACATCTATACCCTTTATGCTCAATGCCATATCCAAGGAAGCAGCATACATGGGCACGAGGTTCTAATTTCGTGCGCTCATGTGGATGAAGGTGCACAAAACAGGCACTACCAAAAACACGTAGAAGAGTGTAATTTGGGACACTACCATACAAACGCTCGTAAGGAGAGATGTGACCTATAATAGGTGATGGAGTACGATTTATAGTGTAAACAGCAGTGTGACAAGCTTCCCCCCAAAACCGTTCAGGACAAGAGGCAGAGATGAGCAGAGTGCGTACAACATCTAAGATATGCCTATGCTTACGTTCAGCTCTACCATTTTGTTGAGAGGTGCCAGGGCAAGAGCGATGAATGATAGTACCATTTTGAGAAAGAATCCGAAGAAATTCTGTATCTCTATATTCCATAGCATTATCAGTACGAAAAATCTTAATATCTCGTGAAAATTGGGTTTTAACCATAGCAACGAAATCACGATAAATACGAGAAAGTTCAGAACGATTTTTCATAAGATAAACCCAAGTATACCGAGAATGGTCATCCACAAAAATGACAAAATAGCGAGAGCCACCCATGGTGGGAGTGGGGGAAGGTCCCCATATATCAGAGTGAATGAGATCAAAAGGAGCATGAGACACAGAATCACTAGTCTGAAACGGTAAAGCATGATGTTTTCCCAACTTACAAGGCAGACAGTCAAAATGTTTAGTGTCAACAGAACCTAAATGACCACTCGAAATTAAAGAGCTTAACCTAGAAAAGGAAGCATGACCTAACCTAGAATGCCAAGTTTCAGAGGACACTGTGGCAAGCACAAGCAAAGCAAAAGGGGTCGGAATATTTAGGGAAACAAGCTCAAAGAGACGCCCCACTTTACGGCCTGTCCCAAGTGTCTGTCCCGTCCGAGGATCCTGCACACGACAACCATGAGAAGAGAAGTGAATATCAAGACCAAGTTCACACAATTGGCCGACAGAGATCAAGTTAAGTGAGAGTTTAGGAACAAGGAATGTGTTAGTTAAAGATAATGTAGATGTGGAAATGTTTCCTGTATGACTAACTCTCATATGTGAATTATCGGCAGTAAGAATATGAGGTGCATGTAAAGCGGAGGATTTAGACTGAAATAAGGCAGAATTTGATGTCATGTGATTGCAACAAGCAGAATCAAAGAACCAAGAATCAGAAATACCTGGAGTAGTAGACATAGTAGAGGTGCT